ATTAACAGATATACACCACTATATGTAAAACATACACAACAAGGACCTACTGTATAGCACAGGGAACTATATTCAGTATCTTGTAATAACCTAAAATGGAAAAGTATCTGAAAAAGAATACACGTATACATATGTATATGCGTAACTGAATCACTCTGCCATACGCCTGAAAGATTGTAAATCAACTATATGTCAATAAAAACAAAACGTATGCAACACTGTAAATCAACTATATTTCAATGAAAAAAAAAAACCCTAATGTATGGTGGGGAACGGGAGATGAACAGGCAGAGAATGGAGGATTTTTAAGGCAGTGAAAATATTCTTTTTCAATGATGGATATGTGTTCTTATACATTTGTCCAAACCTACAGAATATACACCACCAAGAGTGAATCCTAAGGTAAACTATGGACTTTGGGTGATTATGATACATCAACGAAGGTTCATCCTGTGTAAAAAATGTTCCCCTCTGGTGAGTGATGTAACAAAGGTAGGGATTATATGGGAAATCTCTGTGCCTTCCTCTCAATATTATTACAAACCTCAAATTGCTCTTTAAAAAAACAAATAATGTAAAAAGTCAAAACAAGACAGAACAGAGAAATACACCTAGTGCTGGGCAAAGATGTTCTCTTGAGGTCTCTTCCTTTTGGCTTTATACTTTGTCATCTAGACACTCTTAAAGGGATTCCCTGGTGAGGGGGACAAAGAGACTGCTATTCGTGGGAAGGCAGGGAAATAAGCAGCAAAGTGGCTTTACAGTCCTTCATAAACTGAAACGAAGCAGGCTGCACCTTGCATGTCAGATAATCTACTGTGGTGGTTGTGTTTTCCTCTTGTTATTCCTCCTGGCCCCTATATTAAAGCCTTGTTTAAATGTTCCAGTCTTACTTCACAGCTGCGACTAGGACTGAAGAGAGGGGTCCTGGCTCCAAGCTTGGGCTAGGGTTCTGCACATACATAAAGCATGGTAGTATCAGTAATGATCACAAGTGAATCCAAGGAGGAAGGAAAATTTTACAGGGCAAGAAAAGGGCCATAAGGCCAGCCACCTCTAGGCCTACTAGAGATTTCCCCATTATTAACCTTAAAAGACCAAGAAATTTTATTACTGAACTGCTTTATCTTAACACATTTCAGGGAACAAATTTCAGTATTCTACTATCTGATCATAATCTCTGATCCCTCTAATCAATGAGAGCAAACACGTATTAAGCAATCTGTTGAGTAATACAGCTTACTATAAGCATCATTTAATGGGCACAAAAGCCCTCTGAGCTAGGTGGCATTGTATCAGTGTCCCCCTTTTACGGATGAGGGAATTGAGGCCCTGAATAGGTGGGTGACTTAACTCAGGTCCTAACTAGTAATGTGGCATAGTTATGACCTGAACCCAATTTGACTCCAGAATCCATTATTCTAAACACTATAATAAACTGCCTTCCTAACCTCTGACATTCCCCCATTACTCAGGCTCTTACCTCTCACATATCTATTCCCTCGATCCCTGCATCATTTCCCAAGGCCAACAGCCTCTCCGGTCTCTTCCTTCTCTCTCCTCCCATTATCTACAATTCCTATGGGGACCAGTACCCTTGATTTCCCTGCACCCAGTCCCTTACCACTCCACGAGAGCCAATCCTAAATCAGCACTATAACCTATCCACCTTATCCAGCGCAATGCCAAGGAGCTGAGTGCTCCTGCGAAGGGCTCATGCTCCTCACAGCCGTCTTCAATCTCTTGGAACCCTCAGAGCACGGTTTCTTAAAATCGTATCACACCCCCTGTGCCCCTCACTCCAGCCTGGGAAAAGCTGAAAAATTCAAGATTTTTAATAACTTCTTGTTAAACTTATCTACGTTCATAAGTCTGCTAGCCTCTTTTCTACCAGGTTCAGAGGATGCTTCCCTCTGCTTGCCCTTTACTCTACCCGTGCCGTGGGGACACCATTCCATCACTCATCACACTTCTCTGCTGCACTCTGGACCACTATTGGCTCCTTATGATACACACACTCCAGGCACTTCCATTTAAAGATACCTGCCTTGACTTCCATCTCCCTCTAGGTGGCATCTAAAGTCCCTCCTTCTCCTCTAGCTCTGGCAAACTGACAGTCCTTGCTGCCTCCACTCCCTCACTTCCCATAAAGCCTCACCCACTGCAATCTGGCGTCTATCCCCACTATTTCTGAAACAGCTCTTGCTAAGGTCACCAATGACGTCCTGATGGCCAAATCCAATGGATACTTGTCAGGCCTTATCTGACTGAAATGCTCTTAGGCAACTGACACTGTTAAGTGCCCGTCCCAGCTCCCGGGCTTGGAGCCCAGGGCCCGGCACTCTCCCAGTCTGGCCACACTGCTGCTCAGTGTTCCCTATGGTTCCAAACTCCTCCCTCTGCTCTTCGCACTCCTTACACTATCCCTGGATAATCTTGCTCATTCTGGAGCTTTCAACCATCTTCTTTATGCTGACAGACTTCTAAATCTATATTTCAACCCAGACATCTTCTCCAAGCTTCAGATTGCAAAGTTATCTCCACCTGGACATCCTATAGGAACTTTCTTAGTTCCCCCAAACTGCTCTTAATTTCTCACCTCATTTCTCCCCCTGGAGCTTCAAACTTATAATACTTTTCATCAAAACTAAGAGGAACCACTAAGTGGGAAAAAATATACAC